TGGAGCAGCCAAGGAGGGTGGAGCGTAAGAGGAAATTATAGTCAGATGCAAAATGATAAGATAAGCGCTAAGTCAACGCTGGGGATACAAAGGAGGTGAAAAGGAAAACTCAGTGATAAGGTAAAATAGAGGAAAAAGCTATTAGTGATAAAGACGACAGTTTGGGGGAAGGATGTACGTAGATAACATGGCTAGCTATTTGAGGTACTACGTACAATAAAGTGGAGCTACAGTGTGGAATGCAAGTCATTGGAGTAACGGAGATAGGTGGTGAGTAAGAGGAAAAGTAAGACCGAGCCAAATGATAACAGAAGGAGTAAGACTAGGCGAGGGATGTGAATGGAGGGGAAGATGGACAATACAGTGTTGTTAAGGTTAAACAGAGGAACATTTATTCGTAACATTAACGTCAGCTCGAGCGGAATGATTGTGGTGGGCAACATAGCCAAATACTTGAGGTCCTTCGCACAAATATGTGGAACTACAGTGTCAAAGGTTAGGCCGGAGTATAGCCTTTGTATTTAGGCAGGTGGGGAAATGAAAGCCAGAGTAATGGAGATGAGAATAGGAGTAGGACTAGGTAAGGGATACAAAGCGTGGTAAACAGGGACAACGCAGTGTGTTATGGTTAACTAGAGGAACAGTCATTACTGATAACGATGTCAGTTTGTGGGAAGGATATCGGTGAGCAACCTAGCCAACGATCTGAGGTCTTTCGCGCTAAGGTGCGGAGCAACAGTGTCAAACACAAATCAATGGAACAGCGGAGGTAGGTGGTGCATAAGTAAAAAGAAAGGCAAAACCATAGGGAAAAGAGAAGGACTAGGTCAAGTCAAGGGGAGAAAATAGGAGGTGAAGTGGGAAATGCAGTGTTGTTAAGGTTAAATAGAGGAGCAGTTAATATTGATAACGCTGTCAGCTTGGGGGAAGGATATAGATTCTTAACCTAGCCACTATCTTGAGATCCTACGCACAACAGTGTGGAGTTACTTTGTCAAAAGTAAGTCAGTGGAGCAGCGGAGGTAAGTGGTACGCAAGATGTACTTAAAGCCAGAACCAATGCGACAAGAGAAGGAGTATGACTAGGCAAGGAATACAAAGCCAGGTGAGAAAGGACTGCGCTGTTTTGTTGTGATTAAACGTAGAACATTTACTAAACTAGTCGAAAGATGTCTGCTTGAGGATGGTTATTTATAGGCTAGATCGCCAATTCTACTAAATCATTCGCTTAAAACAGTGGAGGCACTGTTTGAAAGGCTGTGGGTAGCGCAACGTAGGTATGTCGTATGTAAGGGGAAATCAAGCCAGAGACAAAGAGGCAAGAGAATGAGTAGGACTAGGCAAGGGCTACGAAGCAAGGTGAAGAAGGACAAGGCAGTGTTGGTTAGGCTAAATAGGGGAATAATTATTAGAGATAACGATGAAAGATTAAGGGATATGGACTGTTATACAGTCGGTGGAGAGTAAGAGCTGTGATTTATAGTAATTACTGTAGCTAAAAGAAAGATAGGATAGTAGATAAAGCAATGCCAGGAACCTGCAGACGTGGAATTAAATGGGGCAGCAGTGCCAAGCTGATTATGTGAACCTCTCGAAGATGGAGTTTTGCGGTGCCACAGGTAAGTCAGACGGACCAAGTTAATAGAGAAAAGGAGCGGGATTATTATGTAAAATCATCCGCTGTTAGTTAAGAGGTTAACGGACAAGTAGAGCCGATCAGTCAGATGAAATAAGGAGGGTAGATTTACAAGAAAAACTGCTGTAGCTGACGGGCAGATAGGGTAGTAGAGCAAAGATTCTATGAACCTGCAGTTTTGGAAACCATGGGGCAGCATTGCCACAATTGTTTAATAAACCATTAGAACGTGAAGCTCTAGGGTGTCACAGTTAAGTCAAATTTACACAAAGCACAGAGTAGGTAAGCGCCGGATAAATAACGTTGTATAATCCGCACTTAATTAAGATACTTAAGAGAAAATAAATTGTGAGATCTCTGGAGGCACATCTAAGGAATATAATTATAGGGCGCTTTCTTTAAAAGGGTTTATGAAGAATATTAAAGATGCCATATAAGGGACATGGCTGTCTATTGATATGGCTTGAGATGAACGAAAAGTGGCTTGATACGTTTACTGATACGTTGGAGCACGCCCACGTACGGGAACTGCCACGACGGTTTGCGTGACGGATGACCTAATCTCGCGTGAGAAGACGGAAATCGCGCTAGCGTGTAAACCTTCTTAGCCACACGTATTCCGGTAGACACTAGGCCCTTGTAAAAGAAGAGGCTACTCACACGAGAAGGGGTGACGGTAGACTACACTAGTAGCTTAGACGCGAACGCTGCCCGGCTATCGACGCACGCGGAAATCACGTGACCGAACCGATTCCCAACTACCGGCGAAGAGAGAGCGAGACAAGTGGTCATCTGAAGGCGTTTTTGACCAACAAAGGGCGAATCACAGGCGAGAGTAGGGATCATTAAGTGAGTGAAATTAGCTACCGCAACGGGGTGGTAGTTTGTAGAAGAAGAATGTTAACATATGCGCAGTTGTGCCGCGTCTCGGAGTGGCTGAAATCTGCTGCGTTGGGGGAGGAATTGAACTCCGGTTTCCACAGCCATTACTTTGGATTTTGTGGCTCGGTTTTGCGTGGACATTTGACGCGCCCGTAACGAGGAGCAAGTGCTGTAGCTGAGGGGAATATAGGATAAAATAACCAGCAGTGCTAGGCACCTGCATAGTAAGATAAAACGGGGTGTCAGTGCCAAGATGCTTAAGTGAACTAATCGAACGTACAACTCTACTGTGTCAGAGGTAAGTCCTATGGACACAGCTAAAAGAGGTAATAAGCAGGAATAAGTCGGTAGAACTATCCACCCTAATTTGAGAGATTAAGGGACATGCGCTGCTGAGCAGTCAGTAAAGAGAGTGATTTACACAAAACAGTTCTATGGCTGAAGGGAACATTGCCTAGGAGAGCCAGCTGTGTTATGAACCTACAGCTGTGAAAAGTAACGAGGCATCAGTGCCAAACTGATTAAGTGAACCACTCGCATGGCCAGTTTTACCGTGTCTCAGTTAATTCAAAGAGCAGAACGGATAGCGTTGGGAATAGCCGCATTGGCGACGCAGCAGCAGCTGCTATTGTTTGGGTGAGTAAAGTGCGTGGAATTTCCAGCATTCGGCTAAGAGAAGGAACGCTGAATTATAAGTATCATTTCTATAGATTAACAGAAGGTAGGGTAGAAGAGCAAGCGATGTTATGAACCCCGGGTGTGGAGTAAAATGTCGCAGCGGTGCAACCCATGAGTATAACAACCACTCGAATGTGGAACTATGCGTAGTGTCGGGTTCATCAAGGTAGAGAGAGATGGGAGAGTGAAAGGGCATCAATAAGCAAACAGAAGTTTCGCTTGTGGTTTGGAAATTAAAGGAAGGGGAACGCAAGCAGTCAGTTAAGTGGAGGGTCGCTTTTAAAGGAAAAAATGCTGCAGCTGTAGGAAAGCTTGGTTAGTAGAGCCAGTGAAGTTATGAGCCTACAGATGCGGAATAAACTGGGGCAGCGGACTATAGATGCCTAGGTAAATCACTCGAATGTGGAGCTCTGCGGAGCCCCAGGTACATCAAACACACATAGAGGTTAAGAGTCTGATTAAGTACAGAACAGCATACGCACTTGCTTGAGAGAATAAGAACGCAGACAGCCGAGCAGTCACATAAACTTAGGAGTTGTAGTTATGAGGACAAATGCCGTAACTGCTTCGGCGATAGGTTCGAAAAGCCAGCGATGCAACTAACATGCAGTTGCGGAATAAGAAAGGGTAGCGGCGTTCCAATGCATTAAGTGATCCACAGGTAGGCGGGGTTCTACTCTGTCAAATGTAAGTCGTGGTTCACCGTTGTTTGACGAGCTTGGCTGGCGGACGAGGCGCATCACACTGGACGGCGTTTGTTAGACAGCAATAAATTGTCAGCTGCCTTCCCATTGTTTTTAGGCGTCTGAAAGTTTGCCTTTGCTGGTGCTAGCCTCGGATTCAGTTACAACGGGGTAAATAACAGTGCGATCACTGTGGCACCATCTAGTGTGCTCCTTTCTGGAAGCGTGTGTGGCTGCTTTCTTTAGTCTGATAACTGTTGGCACATTAGGTCGCTTGACTTTATGGGTGTCCTTAACTCTCCTATTTTGGGGGCGATCAAAATTAATGTGGATGGCGTCGGTTTCATGTAGGTGGCAAAGATAGAGGCGTATGTACTTGCCCCCTCCGCATTGTTGAATTTGTAGCTTGATATTGAAGAATTATGTTATCCGAGTGGATTAGTAGAAGCGGGTCTCCTTACCGTGAAAAAAGTCAGCGTGATTGCAGCTCTCCTCTTGACCAAGGCTATTTCTTCCAAGATGACTTCATTGTTCTGAAATGGAGTTTGATGTTTTACATCCAGCTCGAGGACCTGATTCCCCTGAGTTCAGTTAGGCAGATCTTGCGGCAGTGGTACGCTCTACAAGTTTTGCTAGTCTGTCAAACCTCTGGACGCGCATTACTATGCATTTGATGAGTGAATTGGCCGTACATTATGTACAAAACCAATCGGATTCGTTAGTGTTATTTCGCCGTCTTACCTCATTTAACCTAAGTAGCTTGGAGATAGGATGGACTTTCTTTATTATAAAAGTCGGTGCATACTATTCCAGCCCGTACGTTCTTGAAACCTCTTCTACAATTTGCTTTCCACAGTAATGCATTAGGCTAGCTCCCCGTGGGCAGATATTGCGTTCCATGACGGTCATCAATTTTAGTTGGTTGCGTGAAGTCCAGCAAGCAAATAAAATGATAAAATACAAAGGGCCCAGCAGACCATTGATTCCGACGAATCCACCTACGAGACAAACAATTGCTTTCGTTTTCCTTCGGCATCAGCTTGTCCTACGAACTTTGTGGGACTAGTTAATACTAGTCCGAGACGGTGCGCGAAAGTAAGCGCGGATATCAGAAGGCAATGGGAGTCGGACACAGCGGATTGTATTCGATGGGCTACAATAAGAAGCGGACGGATGAAGCGAGGCGAGAGCGTACACGTGAGCGCGGGAACTTACAAGGCAGTTGTGTGTCGAGCCGGTTGTAAGATTAAAACAAGAAGAGTAATGTACAATCGGTCAACAAGTAAATTGTACATGAAAGATAAGAGTTATCTTTTTGGGCGCTACAGAGCTCCCCCCTAGAAGGCTGAACATAGAAAGCCTTCGAAATCGAAAAGGAATGTTGAAACGAGGTTCGTAAGGCAAAATCGTGCCGAGTAAAAATGAGCGTGCGTTCGTGTAAATGGGGGTTCGTCGGAAGTCGGAGTCCGCTGTGCCGTTTATGATTTGTTATTTATTGATTGCAGGGCAGGGTGCATTTCGGCGAGCCGTTGGAGCGGGCTTGTCGGACTACAAAAAACTGGCTAGCCCAGAAAAAGGCCGACAGGACCTCAACCTCCGCTGCTGCCAAACGGTGCGCTTGGGAGTGGTCTCTCCCCCGCCGCACCCCGCCCCGCGCCAAAACGACCCTCGTCCCACGTAGAAACGACCATGGTCCCACGGAGAAACGACCCTCGTCCCGCGAAGAAGCGATCCTCGTCCCGCGGAGAAGCGATCCTCGTCCCGCGGAGAAGCGACATTCGTCCCGCGGAGAAACGACCAGTGTTCGCGTCAGGGTCCTCGAAAACATTCCTCGTGTGGGCCAGTCGATCGAAGGGGAGGGTTGGGGCATGTAGAGACGAGAAAATAGAAAAACACGCGCAGAAAACGCCAAAAAGAACAAACGAATGATCTGCGTGTTTAAATATTTTTTGGTTTTTGAATATTTTTTCGAAAAAGGTTTTTCGGAGGTTTTTTGATATTTTTGTTTGTTTTCAAAACGTTAATCGACCAAAAATGGGGCAAATATATACAATATCTACAAAGTTAAAAGTATTTACACTGTACATAGTCGGAGAAACGAACGGGCTTACGCACCTCCCGACCACGGCGATTGGTCGTGGGAGGCGGCGGACTAGGTTCGGGAGATGTCGGGACGGCTGAAGCTTGTAGACCGTGATCGTGGTCTGGTTGGACTTCATTAGCATGCGGAAAACTGGTGCGGTGAGTTGTGACGTCGCACGAGGCACTACTAGACGAAGTAGGCGAGGTAGTTTCTTCCATAAAGGCGGGTTTCAGACGGTCGATGGTGACGACTTCGTGTCGACCACCGCGGTCAATAGTGTACGCCTTACTCGCACGATGTAGCACCTTGAAGGGTCCTATGTACGGCGACTGAAGAGGCTGTCGAACACCGTCTGCGCGAAGAAGGACGTGTGAACACGTAGACAGCTTCTCGGGCACGTACACTGGTGTCTTCTGCGATCGAGGAGCGGGTGGACGTAGCTCACGCATCTGGTGAGCCAATCGATCAGTGTAACTTCCGTAGTCAAAAGTGGAAGTACATGGGGCTGGTGCTACCAGCTGTCCGGGCAACCGCAGCGTGCAACCGTAGACTAGCTGCGCTGGTGTGGCGTCGAAATCGGTTTTAACCGTGTTTCTTAAGCCTAGGAGAACGAGGGGAAGCGTTTCAGACCATGAAGGATCTGCGTGCGCACGTAGCGCTGCCTTCAACTGGCGGTGAAAACGCTCCACCATGCCGTTAGCGGCCGGATGATACGCCGTCGTCTGGACGTGGCGACAGCCTAAATCCTTAAGCAACATGGCAAATGTCGACGAGAAATGTGACCCTCGATCGGTGGTCACGATGGCGGGACAGCCGTATTGAGCTACCCAGCGCTCCATAAAAGCTTTCGCTACCGTTTCCGAGGAGCAATTTGGGATAGGGACGGCCTCAGGCCATCTAGTAAATCGATCGATGCAGGTCAGTAGATATACAGAGCCTTTGGAAGGCGGCAGAGGACCTACGAGGTCGACGTGCACGTGATGAAAACGTGCGTCTGGCGTCGGAAACGTGCCTAATGGGCTTCTCGTGTGCTTGTGCACCTTCGCGCGTTGACACGGAAGGCAAGCAGCTGCCCAGGTACGGACGTCCCGATTAACATTGCGCCAAACGAATCGTGCGGTTACGAGTTTAACCGATGCACGAACGCCTGGATGAGACAAGCCGTGCAACGCGTCGAACACGGTCTGCCGAAACTCGCGTGGGACGACTGGGCGCGGCGTGCCCAGAGATAAATCGCAGAGTATCGTTCCGTCTGATGATGTCAGCGGAACGGGTCGTATATCCAATGAGGGAGACCTGCGTAGTAGATCAACCTCAGGATCGTTGAGTTGTGCTGTGGCCATGGCTGCCAAGTCGATAGCAGTGCCGGCGTCAGCGGAGATAGCTTGGATGCGGGAAAGTGCATCGGCGACGGCGTTGTGCACACCTGAGACATGCCGTATATCGGTCGTAAACTGAGCGATATAGTCAAGGTGGCGCGACTCTCTAGGAGAGTATCGGTCGGTAGTCGAGCCGAGCACGTAAGTCAGGGGTTTGTGGTCGGTGAAGACGACAAAGGAGCGGCCTTCTAGGACGTGTCGAAAGTGACGTATCGCTAGATATACGGCTAGTAGTTCTCTACCGAACGTGCTGTAGCGAGATTCGGTAGGTTGTAGGCGTTTGGAGAAAAACGCTAAGGGTTGCCACGTGTCGGCTACTCGTTGCTGCAAAACAGCGCCGACTGCCACGTCCGAGGCGTCAGTACTGAGGGACAGTGGGGCGGCCGGATCGTGATGCGCTATAGAAGCTATGTTGGCGATAGCCTCTTTCAGCGACTTAAAAGCAGCGCGTGCTGCGGCAGGAAATTCGAATTTCTTGAGTTTCCCTCGGAGAAGGTCCGTGAGGGGTTGCATCAGCGAGGCGCAGTTGGGTATAAATCGTCGGTAAAAGTTGACAAGGCCATCAAAACGCCTGAGCTGTTTGAAAGAATGAGGCTCGGGGTAGTCGATGATGGCTTGAATTTTATCCTGCAGTGGCACGACGCCTGCAGAAGGAGATACGATGGCCGAGGAAATTGACTGAATCGACACCAAACGAACACTTTTCTGCGTTGATCGTCACCCCGTGTTGAGATAAACGATCAAAAAGTGTTCGTACGTGGCGCATTTGCTCTTCTCGTGAAGAGCTTGCGATTAAAATGTCATCAAGATACGCGTAAGCGAAGTCTAAACCGCGACAAACTTGGTCGATGAAACGCTGAAAAGTTTGCGCGGCGTTCTTTAGGCCAAATGGCATGCGCAGAAACTCGAACAAACCAAATGGAGTCGTCACGGCAGTTTTAGCGATGTCCGCTTCGGCTACCGGAATTTGGTTGTATGCGCGTACCAAGTCGATTTTGCTGAAGATACTTTTACCTGCCAGACTGGCGGTGAGATCCACTATGTGTGGGATCGGATAGCGATCAGGCGTGGTCACCGTATTCAAGGATCGATAGTCGCCGCAAGGACGCCAGTCCCCCATGACCTTCTTCGGGACCATGTGCAGAGGCGACGCCCATGGGCTGTTGGACGGTCTGACGATACCAAGTTGAAGCATGTGGTCAAATTCGGCTCGTGCTGCCCGTAGTTTGTCTGGAGCAAGCCGTCTTGGTCGTGCGCTAACTGGTTGACCGCGCGTAACTATGTGGTGAGCGACCTCTGTCGTGACTGGTGGAAGCTCTGCAGCCGGTCGAACCAGTCGCGGGTGTTCGGAGAGGAGGCTCAAATAGTCGGACGGTGCGTCTGCGATCCGAAATACAGGGCTGATTATCGGGGCATCTGAAAGGACACCATCAACACCTAGTTTCGTACGATCGTCTAAAAGTCTGTGGCGACCAGCATCAACAAGCAACCCAAAATGTCGGAGGAAGTCGATACCGATAATTGCGAGGGGTACAGACGCAACCATGAAGACCCACTGAAAATCTCGGCGAAGATTGAGGTCTAGGTTCATCATGCGCTGACCGAATGAAGCTATCGGAGAAACGTTGGCCGCACGCAAATTGTACGTAGGCTCTGAGTGCGTTTCGTTAGCGGTCGCTGGGATGACGCTGACTTCCGCTCCCGTGTCGATGAGGATCGTGATGGAAGAACGTCGATCCTTAACGTAAAACAGTCGGTTTGCTTGGTTATTGACGGATACGTTAGTCGTGCTAGTATGCGGGCTATTCGATTTTCCTGAAGCAGCTGGGTCTTGCCTGATGCAGGGAGACTGACAACGTCTAGCTCTTCCGCCGTTTTGGCGGTGATACCAACATACTTCATCGACGGGTTTGACAAGATCTGACTGAGAACTTTTAGGAAAATGTTGCGCTTTCGTGCCGAACGTGACGTACTCGGTGCAGGCACAGACGAGCCGCAATGAACGGTAACCAAAACGTGGTCAGCATGTGACCGTGGCACACGCTGCTTTGAAGTCTTCATTGCTGCTATCCTGTTGCGAAGTAGCGCAATTTTCCCGTCTTTAGAGTCAGATCGGTCTAGCGACTGGGAACAAACATGAGGTTCGGTTTTCATCGGTGATAATACGTCACCGGAGTTACTGGTCGTCTGCTGCGGAAAACGTTCGAACGCAGCGTCTGCCTTGGTAGCTAAGTCTTTCAGGGGTGCATCTATAAACACGGACAGCATTACCGGCAATGGCTCTGGGAGACGTGCAAACCACAGCGCCTTTATCCCTTCTTCGCTCAAGAATAAGGGACCAGCGATGCGCTGAAGTTCGCGGAGAAATGCCGACGGCTTGCGATCTCCAAGCTTGAGACCATTGAGCTGCTCAAATGGAGTTCGTGCGATGGGCCGTAACTCTTCTAAAATAGCTTGCTTCATCGTTTCATACTTTGCCTCATTCGATAGACAGAGTAGAATGTCCTCAATCAGCGTCACAACCGACGGAGGAAGGCGTGGGAGGAGTTGCTTGTACCTTGGACGGTCGGCCGTAATGCCCTTATTTTCTAGATCGATCTCGAATATCTTAAAGCAAACTTCTGGACTGTGTTCCATGAAACTTGGAACAGCCAAAGTAAGCATGGTTACGCTGTAAAACGACTCAGATGCAACTCTCGAAATGTGAGTCGAAAGACAAATAATGAACAAAATACGATAAAAGTACTAAAATTACTCCAGAAAGAAATGAATATAGGTATATAATCGAGAAAAAGGAACGAACTCACCAAAAAATACAAAGGAGGAAAAAGTAGAATTCGCGCGTGCGAATCGGGGTCACCAATTTGTGGGACTGGTTAATACTAGTCCAAGTACTAGTCCGCGCAAGTAAGCGCGGAAATCAGAAGGCAATGGGAGTCGGACACAGCGGATTGTATTCGATGGGCTACACTAAGAAGCGGACGGATGAAGCGAAGCGAGAGCGTACACGTGAGCGCGGGAACTTACAAGGCAGTTCTGTGTCGAGCCGGTTGTAAGATTAAAACAAGGAGTAATGTACAATCGGTTAACAATTAAATTGTACATGAATAGCAGTTATCTTTTAGGGCGCTACAACCTCTATTCACCCATTGCTTTCATTATAGAAGCATTCTTTCCTTCAGCATCCTATGTGTGAAGATTTGTAGCGTTCCGAAGAAAATCCTTATCTTTCCTGTACAGTTTGGTCGGTGATCTGTTGTAAGGTATTCTATGTTGTTTTAACCTTCTTAAACTACGACCATGTTGGTCTACCTCCGTTGGAACACTCGCTTGCTCCTTGTATTAACGTTCTGACACACGCTGTTGTCTCGATTCATCCGTCCAGGATTTTTTTAGTACATCAAATGTGATCTGCTGTGTCCGGGTTCATTTAACTTTTAATATCCACGCACGGTTACGTGTACCATCTCAATGTAATCTACAATAAGCGTGTAAAATATTAGCCCTTCCTCGATTATCGTCTCGCAGATGATAACCCTTGTGTCGAAGATATGTAGCAACTATCTGGGAAAGACAAGACGACAGAGCACAAATAAATAGCACCATGCGAAGTCAATACGACATAAGCAAGTTCGAAAATGTAAACAAGTGACAAAATTTGGCAAGTAACGTAAGTGATAAAAAGAAATAATGAAAGAAATAATTGACGAAAACGCACAACTAAAACACAAATAAAGGAATTAAGTAGATACACATTGTTATTTATTCGCATTATAATTGTCGAAAAAATATTCTGCTCATAATAGTGTTGGTGTCTGGCTTTGTTTAAAATATTAACGCGGCGTAAGTAATCAAATTTGCGCGAAAAGGAATATACAATTTGTGGCACTCATCAATCTTATGGCTAATTTAGTACTTTGCATAACCTACACCGTCTACCCCATGCTACTGAAAGAAAAATCATTTAAAAACCCGATATTATCAAAATTAATTGCATTTTATATCAGCTACCTAATATTTATCTTGATAAGATAGTACCTTTTCGAGCAGTGGATCAACAATAACACATGGGTGAAACTGTAGGCTTTTCATTGATGCTAAGCAAAATGATATGAATAAAAACTGTAAGTCACAAATTTTACGAACTCTACGAAAATCTGAACTTGTTGCTAGCTTCGGCGCGTGTTGCAGTAGTTCATAGTAGCATTTTGGTAACAATTTGCAAGATGTGGAAGCACATTGCAAGCATACTTACATCTGTAAATGATATTACTTCGTGTACCTGTATACTTATGCTTTATCAGACAGGTTACTTATAAACTCTTAACACGTATACAAAGAATTTGATGGTATTTTGACTTAACCAATTTTGTTTGCATGTAGAATAGAAATCATGTTGCTTTGCTACTATTTCGTTTTACTCTTTCTTTTACTTTGCCCTGTTTAATTGGTACATTAGCCAGCTGTTTAAAAGTGTCGATCTAAGAAACGAAAGCCTTTGTTTGGTACACTATATGATTCCTTTTTATCTAGCGTAATGACGGCATCGATGTGCGTTGCTCGCTTTATTAACGGAAAAGAACCGCATTAAATAAAACAGTCGTATGCAGTAGCATCCGAGCAGTATAGAAATAAGACGAAACGCGTTTTAAACAATAGAATCAAAAAGGCTATTCTGCATCCATCACCGATCAATTAAGTGCACTGAAAATAGTTATGTTATACAAGTAAACTGTGGTAATGTTTAGTTTGATCCATGTATGCTATATACAGTAGTATACATCTGCTTGTACAGTTGGATGTCCAGGCGTCACTGTTAAGCAAGTTTCTAATTAATCATACAGAATTAAAGAAAATAAAGTGCGGGCTGACTCAGCATTTTTAAAAATAACAATAAAAACTATAATGCATCTCTATAATACTTTTTCTTTGCTAGCAAATAATTTCTTCTTGCTATGGCATGCATTTGGTCAGCGCATGCCACAACTATGACGCTAAATAACCCATTTTGCACTTTGTAGTCCCAATCTGACTCATTTAAAACGTCTTTGTTCGCTTAAGAGATTTTGTGTTGTCTTCTTTTCAGTAAAGCGTCAGGATGCTTATTAAATTTAGTTTCCAAGCTTAGTAGTTATTTGCGACTGGATAACGCTTTTACTGGATAGTTTCTGTTGCTGTAAATGTTTTCTGAGTGACCGAAATTGATTCTAAAACTCTCTATGGTTCAGCCATGTGTACTAAAGCGATCTTTATGGGCGCTTTATTAGTCACTCCGGCGGACAATATTTGGTACCCCATGTTATGCATAACTGTAAATTGGGCGTGCATTTTAGCATGTTTATCACAACCACTAATTTTTGCGCCAGTTAACTCACAAAAGCGCTACTTAGGCTTCAGCATATTACCTGAAAATTGTACCAGTTTTGTCTAAGATTATGATGTTGGCCACCAGCTGTATCGGCCAAAAGGCAATTTTGCATAGCTGTAACACCTCTCACTTAGGCTTATGTTCTCGATGACCTGATGCAAATAATGAACGTATTGTGGGGTGTTGTTAATATTATGCTTACTCATCCTTTTAAATCTACTACGCCTAAACGTCTACAGGACCACCACCTCAACCTCCGACAGAATCAACGCAGTGGTAATATCTGAGCAAGATTTTTCAAGTAGCTTGTAACGTATAGATTAAATAGGATTCCACCAACCTTATCAGTGTCGGATACGTCTGAATTCCACATACGGTGTTTAGATCGAACTCAAGTAGCTGTAGCAAACAGTTTAGGATAAAAAAGCTGGATGTTTGGCAATATTACAAGGCTTACAATGACAACGTTTAATGAGTAGTTTCTTGAAGCCTCGGTAATGGATTAAACTTTGACGTTCTGGTTAACATATTGTCACACCGAATTAAGTTGCACCATCTGAACTACAGCATAGATGTTGACCGACCTGGGATTGAATTGAAGCTCATAACGGTCACTCATTGCGTTGGTGATGTCGCAACCTAGTCCTCTTAAATGCGGCATTGACTACATTATACATGCGGTTACCTTAGAGTAACGTAGTTTGTGCAAGTCTGTTGTTTGGATTCTTACTGTTCCATTGCACGCATTAGGCGACTGGTACAAAATACTAACCTGTATTTTGCGTTCGATGACTTGAAGCAAACCACTCACTATGTTAGGTCCATCGATTTGTCTTCATTACGCCAATGCAAGGTGTGTTGCTCTTTTCTGAGGCTTTTATTAGCATCGTTTATGAGTGTCGGTATATATAACTAGGACAGCGTGGAGACTATTAGCAAGCAAACAGAAGCTTTCCAGCACTCGTCTGCCCTGCGAAAATGCAATCTTGGCTCAGGGTAAACCTTTACCATAATGCGCGGGTCCGTGGCCCCATGGACCAGATATCTGCCTTACAACTCATAGGTTACCTGTTTAGGCCCAATTGGTGGATCAGGTTGCCATTCCAGTATCATTAGATTGCGCGCGACTGATGTTGGTTGCACGGTAACAGCGCGTCAGTAAGTGTATCCAAGTAGTGCCATAGTTTTTATTGGTTCCGATGCGTACCTATTCACTTGTCATACATTCTGAACGACTAAGCTGTTGCGCAGCGCTTATACACCACTGACTCAAATCCAAGGTTACCTCTTACTTTGCTATTAATGTCAATAGGCTATCTCAAATTTAGT